AGTTTCAGGGATTTTTTAACATTTAAAAAAATGCTTGAATACTCACCGACTTTTTTAAAATCTCTTATATGTTTCTCTCTTCCTTAGCATCCTAAAATAATAATCTAAAAACATTTCTTCACTTTCTATTTAATTCTTAAATCTGTCACCTGACCACCATGGCTCCACCTTTATATACTTCACTACAACGACTCTTGCCAAAGTCACCAATAATCCCTTGTGAAAAATGTGCATGGTTCACTTTCTATATTAATTCTCTACAGTCTTGAGCCAGTGGGCAGCTCTTCTTTTGCTCTTGTCCCTTCGCCTCTATGATGGCTCTTATTTTTTAAAAAAATTTTATTAGTTTCAAATTTATAGTACATTGATTAGACCCTATGGTATCTCTTGATTCTGAATTTTCTTCTACGGTTTTGTCTACCCATCCCAGCTTCCTTTCTTTATTGAAATCTATTCCTTGACTCAGAATAAAAATTAGTGTTCCTAAAGGCTTCGTATTCAGCAACGTCTCCCCACTCCCCAGTATGCTCCAATATTTCATGGTTTTAACTACTTATACATTTTATATTTAACCAGGCCCCATCTTTCTCCTTAAGTCCTTGGAAAACCAACTGTCTGCTATGCATTTCCACTTGGATGTACTACTGTTACTTCAAAGTCGACTTGTCCAAAAATCTGTTTACCTTCTCTGTATCCCTCTACCAAATCCTCACTTCCCTAAAGTATCTTCTATTATCTGCCAGTCAACCAGACCTGGACCTAAGAGTCATGTAGGACTCCTCCCTTTTATAAGCCATGAAGAATTTTTGGTAGTCTCAACCTATTTAATAGTTCTTAAATCCAGTGTCTGTTGTATGAATGAATTAGACATTCATCACTTCTCCTTTAAACTGTTGCCATTTAACTAGCTCCCTGCCTCCAGCCTCAACATTTCCCCATCCCAGGCTCAATGTATTTTCCACAGTTCCAAAAATAAATGTTCTAAATGCAAATGTGCACTCCTTTGCTTAATATACTTTAACAACCCCCTTCCCTCTTTTCAGGCTAAATTCTAAGTGTATTAACATGTAATACGAACTAAGTCTTTCAAAATCATGTCCATCCCCATCTCCTGTTCTTCCTCATTTCCAAATTAAGGTCCAATCATAATGACCTTCTTGAAATCCCATGGATATGCACATGTACTGTTATGTTTATGCCTTTGCACATGTTCCACCCTGGCTCAAGACTTAGCTCTTCCTAGAGGTACAACCTTAGGCAAGTTATTTAACCTCTGTACCTCCGTATCCTTATCTATAAACTGTGAAGAGTGATGATATATACCTTATAGAGATTTTGTTAAGATTTAATGAGATGATGAACATGAGAGGATTCACTCTTCTATATTCACGAGAATCCGCCACTGCTTCTCACGTCTACAGATCTGATTATAGAATCATGAAGCTATATATTTTAATGAAAAATCTCAAGTCAGTCACAGGTTGGAGGGCAGAGTTCTTTAAAAATTACATGAATGTATCTAAGATTAATCTTCCTAGAGGGTGATTGTAAACTGGGTCTGTAAGGATGAGTAAGAATGTTATGGAAAGGGAAGGGCTTTCTAGGCAGAGCAGTATAATGTACGTGGGAATGAAGAAAGTAAATAACTGGAAGCAGAAGATTACTCAGGTGAGCTCTAGAAAAAGAGACTGGAAAAAATGATTAAAAACATTGTAAAAGCTTCCTTGAATATCATTCTGTGGAGTGTGGACTTGATAACATAAGCAATAGCAAACTACTCAGATTAACTTGCTTTTAAAAAAATAGCACAGCAATATGAAGGGTGAACTGTGAGCAGAAAGATAAGAATGGGAGGCCCATTCAGAGATCACTGCAATAGTCCAGGTAATGACACTAGAGACAAAGCCAAAAATTACATTAAATAACAAAAAATAAAATTGACATAAGTCAGATATGGGAGGTAAGTGAGAAAAAAAGGAAAGAACTAAAGCTGTTAACCAAAATAGTACGTGTAACTAGTTAGATTGTGGATTAACTATAGAGAAAAGAGATTTAGGAGAATTAGAGGGGAATATTCTATTAATACTTATTAGGCTCAGTATTAAAGTACCTGTGGTATGATGGAATGGAGATGTCCAGTAGGTCCCAGGATATATGGATCTAGATTTAAGGAGAAAGGTCAGAGCTACAAAGACTTGGGAATCACTAAGAATATAGCTGGTAATTGACATCGCGAGCATAAACAAGATGCCCAGAGTCCCTGCAAAGCAAATAGAGCAGGTACCAGAGAATAAAGTGTTGGAGAATACCAATATTTATGGAGCAAGTAGTTAAAGAACAACAAACCGAGGAAATGAAAAGTGAGAGAAGTAGGTGAGGCAGCAAAGAATTCCACTGCAGACACCAAGGAAGGGTCTTAATATGGAAAAAATAGAGGTTAGTGGGATAGGTACAGCCTCTAGGCTGAAAATCACAGCATTAGCTTCTTTATCTGCAGCAATGTCAATGGACTAGTTGAATCAGAAGTCAGAAAACAATTTGGAAAGTGAATGGGAATGAAGAAAGAGATTCTTTCAATAAATTTGGCAGTGTAAGAAAACAGAGAGAGAAGGCAATAACAGGAAGACTATGTAGGCAGAGACAAAAGCAAGGTTTTCTTGTTTGTTGTTTGTTTTTGTTTTGTTTTTAATACGGGGTAAAACTCGAGCATGTCTGGAAGCTGAAGTGAGAGAACCAATTGAGAGGGAAAGATCTAAGATATAAAACTGAAGAATTAAGCTGATTAGCTAGGTCTCCAAGATGGTAGACGTGAAAGAGCTGTAAGCAGGTAGTCTTTACCTTAAAAAGGTGAATAGGTATACTTCAGAAACTGGGTAAGAAAGGCAAAAGAGATGAAAGCTGCCTAAGATATTACAGATAAGTTTAGAAATGGTGGGAGGGAAGCTGAGAGTCTACACGCGTCACTATTTTTTGCAGTGGAGTAGGAAGTTAATTATCTGCTGGGAATGGATGTTAGGAACGGGATATAAGAAGCCCCAGCAATCACTAAGGTAAATGAAGCAAAGCTCATGAGTAAAGATATCTGGTAGAAATGAATCCTACCAGTGTCTGCCATCAGACCTTGCCCCTGCTATGAAAAACTGGAGCCTCAAACTGAATCGGGTTAGAATTAAGGTCAAATAGGAGAATTTAGTCAGATCTCTCCTGAGTAGAGATCAAATAAGGTCTGGGGTAAAGTGCCAATTTCCATAGTGTTTAGTTCTGACTCAAAGTAATCTCCCACTAGATTTAAAGGTGGCCTTACAAGAAGAGAAGTGGTCAAACTAGAATTACAGGGGGAAGGGCAGTTTAAAGTCACCAACAACCAGAATGATGACCTCATCAAACACTTAAAATATTAAGTATCACTGAAGTTAAAAACAAAAAATCTCTATCTTTACAAACTACGTTTTAAGATATTAAGAGACACAGAATCTGAAATTTGTCTAAATGTCCAAGAGGGCCTTGCAAAGTGCTTAGAGCATAGCCAAGAACTCATACTTGCTTTAAACAGAAAAAACATTTTTGAGAGACCCTGCACTTGCCAAATTCTCTGCCTTGCCTTTTAACCCATAAGTGTGACATGTATTCAAATACGTACATTTATTCTCAAACCCTGGGGCTGACCAGATTCTGAGTCTTATACAACTACTCCAAGGGTATAGAATAAAATAGAGGAGGGAGCAGCTTGTAATTCCTGTTTCAACTCCATGTACCCACAAAGAGAGAAAATCCAGGTTCATATTGTCTTAGTATAGGTTGGTATGTCACAATCAAATTACCTGTTTAGTAAAATTGGTCCTACACTATTATTCTCTCTCTCTCTCTTTTTTTTTTTTTTTGTCATAGAAGAAATATCTGCACTATCACAAGTGAAAGTAGCTTTACAACCTAGGAGTGCATTATATTAGGCTGAGATACAAGATAGAAAAACAAATTTTTATCTTGTATAAAAAGTTATGACAGCAAAAATCTAAAAGATGAGTAAAATGGTTTTATAAAAATTATTACAACAATAACATTAATATATTAAAAACAATCTCCATAGTAGCAATAGTTGAATGAACATTAAGGAATGCAAAAATAGTTTAATTAGCATTAAGAAATGCAAACAATAATGAGTGATTATTTTGGATTTAGAATATTTATCAATTGCAGGAAGAACACCTATTTTTCATCTTTAGAACCTGGCCTTTCGAATTTCCATCAACAACTCAGTGGCAAAGATAAAACATCTACCAAAATACAGATGACAGCATCAGCAAATGTTCTAATGGTAGGCATTTAGCTTTAGCACACTGTTTCTAGACTATTGGGGCAGCCCCATAAATAAGTACTTTTAAATAGGCATTTACCACTTTAAAATAATAACTTATGTTTAAAAGTAATACATTCTTTAGAAGAAAATACTTTCATTTAAGCAAGCCAAATTACTACTAGACTTAGACAATAAGAATGTTTTAAATCATGTGTACGCTTGATTTTAAAAATTCACTTTCAACAAAGAAAAATAATCCAATCACTGAAAAGACAGTTCATATACTGTCATTATTTGAGTGAGGCTTTATTTATCAATTGGTGAATACCATCGAAACTGCTGATGTGCTTTTAAACAAAATATAACTGAATATATGAGGTGGGGGAAGGAAAGGAGCATAGTAATTCATTCTGCATCTTGTAAACCAATACGGGGGGTGAGGGGGTACTGTGGAGTGCAGTCTGCCTGTAATTAGATGGAATGGGCATTTTAGGTAACTTATTACAAAGTTCAACTGAAACTGTAATGGTTACCAGGAAATGGCTTTACCAGTTATTTAAAAATGAAACTTAAAGCAAAATCGAAGTTCAAATACAAACAAATAAATGTACAAATCCATGGACTTTCTTACTTATTCTACATTCTAAATTCAGCGTCCCAAATACCCTGGTTTATAACTACTTGTGTTCTTAAACAGCATCACCATCATGTCCTTTTAATACTACATATTAAACACACACACACACACACAAAATTCATTGTATTTTATGACAAATACTATCACTTCCTGGTTAATATTCAACACTTACCAGTGTCAACTCAAATGAATGTCTTTTTTTTTTCCAGGTTATTATTAACTAAATACAATAAAATACCATAAATTCTGAATTCTATGACTCTGTAGGGACTTGAGGATATTAATATTGTATGCAATTGAGTACTAATTATACATGATCTTAAACTATTACTAAAGAGGACCTAACAGAATTCCTATCTCCCAAAGTAGCATTCTAGCAATCCTTTCTAATTTACTTGAAAATAGGACCTCTGTTTTTAAAACAGCACATGATTTAGTTTTTATTCTTCAGAATAGCTTTGCTGCCTACAGTCTAAATTAGTGATATTTTATCACAAATGTATAATCTTGTTCAACATTGCTTTCTGACTATACAACAGGTTTCTTAAAGTATTCTTTGAGCTATAATGATATTGACAACAAGCCATTAATGATGATGATAGGAAACACTACTTTATCAAATACTAATCCTTTATATAACACAGTGTTTAGTAACAGCTCCAACATCCCAGGATATTCAGAGTGGGGAAAGTGGTAAGCTGAAAATAGCATCTTGAAAATAGCTGAAGTCACAAATCTTTATGAATGGCAGAGTAAGGCTAATAATCAGCTTAAAATCTAATTAATTTAGCATTCTAGAATTAAATGTAACAATTGCTTGTTACTTACTGTTACTCAAACTCAATTCTGTATCTCACAAAAAAGTTCACAAAGGGCTCTATAGATGTGAAATGTGACAGGCACTGACAATAGAGCCACAAAAATTCCTATTCCTTCCTCAGTTTTTACGAAGCACACGTTTTAACAAAGCTAAATGGGTTCCAAAAGCATGGGGACCAAACGCCTCTGGCGTAAAAAAAAACACCAAATCCACAAACTGCAAATATGTTTTGAGTAGAGGTATTATCTTCATATTCCAAGCGATATCTGGATTACTTTTAAAACAGTTGCCCCAAATAAAGTAAGGAAACTTGAACGTGCTATTTGAACTGTATTAAAGTGGTTGATAGAGGGTGGAGGTAGCAAGAGTTTCCAGGAAGCTTATTTCTAGGGTTAAAAAAAAAAAGCGGCTAGAAGGTTCTTCTGATTAAATGATGGGTTGGATGTAAAACTTAATCGTGCCGCTTAAGTCTCTTGCTCATGTGGGAGGGCAAACAGGAGAAACCCTCCTCTTGCAGACTTCGCCAAAATGCGCACTTCAATCTCAAGAGGCCCATGCCCTCCCACTCTCCTCTCCCTCCTTCATCCTAACTGCGTTTAAGCACTGAGGAGAAAAAGGGGTACGAAAGAAGGGGGTCCCTAACAGCTGCCAACGGCTCGTCTCCGATCGCGCCCTTTCTCTCTACAGTTAATTTCTGCGCGAGGTGCACGGTTTAGAGTCTTCCTCCGTGATCGCATCTGGAGGCGGAGATCGGGGGAAGGAGAAGAGCCCCGCTTTCACTCAGGGGCAAGAGGAACAGGAAAGAATGAAGGAACATTTTACCCGCTGGGCCCACCCCACGTTCGCGCTAAGGCGCGCAGGGCCCGCGCGTCCCGCGCCGGAGCCACCTTATCCAGGGCGCCGTGGGGCCAGCCAGGGCGCAGCCCACA